TGTCGGTGGTGGCGGCGGTGTGTTAATGCATATTTCAGACACGTGCGCGATACGCTTCTTTGATTTGCAGACGTGGCCGTTCTGGGTAGAATTCAACTATGGACCGTGCAACTGGCCTGGGACCAAGGGATGGGGACGGTTGAGTCCTGGCTGGGTTGGGTTGGCTTTGGGCTGGGTTCGCCTTGGCGAAAGGTTGCCGGCAAATGGAAGGAACAGCGCATAAGGCAATGATGAGCGGCTTAACATATTTGTAAAGACCTTTTTATTAAAAACAAAAAGCGGGTTTAAAGATTATTTGTCGGGCACAAGATGCCAAAACAGGGTGCCGAACCAGACCGTAGAAAGTGTACGTAGTGTGTGTGTGTGTGGGGGGGGGGGGGGGGTTAGATTCGTCTGGCATTTGTTTGCATGGGTGTGATATTTTAATTACGCCCTAATGCAGCCATGTAAATTATGTATATGTGTTTTATTGTATGCCCTGATGCTTGACTTATGCCAAAAGCACAGGAAATTGTGAAGGAAAAAGGTGTTGTCGAAGCAGGAAAAGCTTCAGATTGATGAGACCTTTTGGCCTATGATGTACTCACGAAAATGCCCAAGGGTGGATTTACATATGTGCAAAAGGATTGCCAGAAATAGTTTAAATACGAATTTATCAATTTATACTACTCTTGTAGAGGGTATTAAGGTTTTGTCATGAAATGTGTAATAAATGGAGACATCTCCGATCCCATAAAGTATATATATTCTAGAACATCGTCAGTAGCCCAGTTGATATAGTCATCTCCGTCTGATTGTCCCTCCGTGCGTCCGTCTGTCAGTTTCTATGCGAGCCGGTCTCAGACTTTAGCCTTAAAATTTTATTTCTGATGCAGGAAGCATATGTCGGAACCGGCCCGATCGGACCACTGTATCATAAAAAACGATGTGTCGAAAAAGAGGTTCTCGTATGGAAAACTGTTTTGTTTATCAAGATATCTTGAACAAACTCTTCATATACTCTTACTATCATCAGAAGACTATATTATACAGCTACCATACAAACGAGCTGTCGAAAAGTAGATTCTTGTATGGGAAGCCTATTTTTTCGTTATGATATCTTGACCCAGCTCGGGACTTATTACTTACACTATGCTCCTCTTGTATAAGCATAATCTTAACCTCATCATACGTCTATATTATATATGTAGCTGTCAAAGTAACGATCGGTCGAAATGTATGTTCTTTTGTGGCAAAATATTCTGTTTTCCAAGATGTTTGCATCAAACCCAGCATTTACGAGCTTCACAATTCTCAAATACCAGCAAATGCCTAAAAGGATATTAAATCTTCTTTCTTGCTCGTTATTTTTTATAGATATAGAATATATATTTAGTAATATATTATATATAGCAGAAAGCTGCACTTCGCACTTTGTCTCTCCCTCTCTCTTGCTCTCTCCGCTTGTCTGCCTATTTAACTCTTTCGTTTTCATTCACACCTCCTCCACTGACACGTGCTCCTTTGTCACATATGGTTCTTCGGGTTCTTTTCTAAGTCGCTTAAGGCCACGCCTCTGACCATCCAAAGCATCCAGAGAAAGAGAGAGATAGACAGATGGCTGACCCTAGCCCTCCCGATGCCCTGTTCCCCTGTCCCTGGCCCAACTATTGGCACTCTTGGGTGCATTTTTTATGCCATGTTAAAGCCACTTTATGCGCTTTTTATGAGCCCGCAGCCATAAAAAGTGCCTAACAAAATAAAAAAAAAAAACACACACACACACACACAGCTGCATCTGGGTGTGCGACAACATATTTTAATATACACACATACATACACATACCTACATATATATTTTTATATTTATTGATTTTGTATTAAAAATGTAAGTGCTGGCTTTTAGTTTATTTTCTTTGGGCCAATGTCCACTTTTTTATGATATTGAAATAAAGCGATGCACACACATTCAATAAATATAAATAAATAACGAGCTGCGAGCGAAGCAAAGTTAAACACGCCCAGCAACAACAGCAACAACAGCAACAACAACAACAACAACAACAACAGTTAAAATATTGAAAATAATTTTAGTGAAAATAATTTATTTTTTATTTTCGGTCTGTTGTTATTTTTGTTTATTCTTTTCTTTATTATTTTTTGCAAACGGATTTCAAGTGAAAAGCGCCAAAGGGCTGGCGAAACACAAACAGGCGACGATTCCGACTCGATTATTTACAATTTGATTTTATTTATACACACACACGCACGCACGCACGCACACACACACACACACACAGGCACACACGCACACAATATGCGGGTTTTTGTGAGTGCTGCCCAAAAGGCATTTTTCCTGTCAGTGAGAAAAATCAATCAAAATCGATTTAAAAGCACAACTTCCGTTGCGGATTTACGAAATGTGTGAGTGTGTGTGTGAGAGAGTGTGTGTGTTGGGTATGCCACGTGTGTGTGTGTGTGCGTGTGAGTGTGTTAACCAAATGTAACCAATTTATTTGCTTTTATGCGTTTCTGTTTTATTGTCTCTCTCTTGCTGCTTTTGTTGTAACGCCCACGTTACGCCCACTTTGCAAGCCTATTTTGTGCACCTTCCCAATGAATTGGTCAGATTTTCAATAAAGAAATTGAAACACACACAAATACACACACGTACACAGACGCACGCACGCACACATAATCAGGCGTTGTGCGCATTCACAATTTGTTTTTCAGTATAGTTGTCGAGCGGAGTGGGAGGGAGGGCGGCGGGCTGCGGTGGAAAGCTTTGGATAGCCTGGAAAATCGGACAAACAACAAAAGAGTGGAAATGGCATAAATGCTTAATTCGGGACATTTGAATATTTCATAAGGACATGACCCACATACAAAACAAAGCACAAGCCAGACCCAAAAAATTATTACAATGTGCGTGTGCCTGTGTGTGTGTGTGTGTATGTGTGAGCACATTGTTGGTAGGAAATCGCATTTTATTGTTGAGTTGCTGGCAGTTTGCACAGTAATTGAGTGTGAGTGTGTGTGTGTGTATGTGTGTGTGCGACTCTGATTAAGTGTGTGCTTGTGTGTGCACTTTATGAATCTTTCAACAAATTTGAACAGTGCAATTAAAGGAATTACGCAAATGCATGCCGCCCAGGCCATCAGAGATTTTCAGTGTTGGTAAACACTCAAAAAAGTTGACGAATTTACAAATTTTTACTTAAGTTCCAAATTTTTTCGTACTTCTGCTAGAGTATGATAATAAGAATGGAAATGGGTCTGGCAAAAACGAAGGCAGTATCTAAAAACTGAAGGATTTAAGATAAAAGAGGACTTTTGCATCATATTACAGCAGAAAGGCTACAAAGTCTCATACATATAAACCAAGTCCTCGCCTTAAGGTTTGGTATTCGAAACTGGGTTTCGACATCCGTGAACCGAGATCTTGAAATGCGATAAAAGCTTCATTTTCTTCTTCTTCATATTCTTCAAATTGTAAAAAGAACAATTCTATTTTACATAAAAAAGGTTGTGTTATATTCAAATATGTTAATTTTATATCCGATAAATGTTAAATTTATGGAAAATAACAATACTTTCCTTTACTTAAAAGAAATTGGTTTCATGACTATCAGATAAATATTCATTTGCTCCTTTTGCTATTCATTTAGCCAGAGCACCGGTTCATGGTAAATAAGAACACTGAGATTTCGCGTTCGAACCGTTTCGCTTCTTGATACATCTTACAGGCATACATCATACGGGCATACATCATACAGGCATGCATCATAAAAGGTGGTGTCACAGCTTGCACACCAAATTAAACATGATATAAGCATCTTGACAAATTGATTTGTAAATCAATTAAGAACCCAATTTAAGTCCAGTTATAAAGCGCCCTTTTAGCCAGCACTTATTGGTCAGTTGATTTGTTTACGAACCATTTCCTCAAGCAATCGATTTCCTTTCCTGCTTTCACCCTCAAATTTATCGCAGTGTAGTTAATTTGGTGTCTGGCAGTTGGCACCGCCAACGACCACCTGACGACAACAACAACAACGACCAGGAAAGTCCCAAGAATCGGTCAGCCATATCATTTACAACTGATTGGCATTGACAGACGCCGCTGTCGCTGTCGCTGTCGCCGTCAACGTCAGCGTCGACGCACTTCAAATTAGTATTATGATAAATTATATTATGACTTGATGTGCAGCCGCAGCAGCAGCGCAAGAATCGCGAAGCGGGCACCTGAAAGCATTTAACGATAAACGAAAACAAAACAAATGCAACAAAAAGCTCGCACGCAAATGAATTGCAATAAGCAATAAGCGATTGAGGGAGAGCGAGACGCAAGGCTTGCCGTTTGGGCTGATGCAATGCAAAAGTGCAAGGCGAGAGTGTGAGTGAAAGAGAGAGAGAGAGAGAGAGGGAGAGGGAGAGGTAGAGAAAATACGGCGTCGCGGCGACGCGTCGCTAGTGGGCGACAGCGCGACAGAAGCAAAGGGTGCAATGAACAAAATAACAAAATGAATTAGTAATAATATTTTGTTTGTGCTTTTGCGCTCATTTTAGTCTCGTGCATATTTTGCCAACTTTTTCTTTGCCTTACTTGTGATTATGCACATGTGTGTGTGTGTGTGCGGTTTGGTGTTGTGAGTACTTGGCGACAAACATGTAGAGTCGAAGACGACGACGCCAAATCGATGGCGGTACGTCGCGTCGTTAATGGCGTCGACTGCGACGCACGTCTGGCGCTGCCAGTGTCGTCGACCAGACGTAATGGCTGTACTTCCACAGACGACGGCGATATGACGCCAATAACAACAACAGCAGCAAACAACAACAAGAACAGCTGTTGCCAACTTAAGGGAAGCCACACTGCATGTTGGTTGTCAAACGGTTGTACGCTCCTTTAAGTTCGACAACAACCGCTTAGAGCATGTTTGACAACTTGCACAGTGCATACGACTCGGTCAGTCATGTTGCACATCAAACATCTCTCTCAAACTGGTGTGTGCGAAGTGTGTGTTTGAAGGTACAGAGAGCATCAAACATGGACATGAGCGCATTTATAGCGCTCTCTCGGTCTGTGGTAGTTTTAGTGTGCTTCAAGCCGTGAAACTACAATGAGTGCCATACCGCAAACGGATCTGTGGCTCGAGTTCTTCGATGCCTACCGCCAGCTACCTGCGCTGTGGCGGGTCACGGACGAGGTATACAAGAACTACCGAATGAAGAAGGCTGCCTATGAAAAATTATTGGAATGCTATCGGAAAATAGACCCAAAGGCCACGTTGGAGATCATGCGGCGCAGGATCAACGGCATTCGGACTTGTTTCAGACGCGAAGCTCGCAAAGTGGAGCAGAGCGAACAAATTGCCCACAAAACGGATGACGTCTACGTGCCACATTTGTGGTACTTCAATCAATTGTCCTTCCTGCGTGCTGATGATAGCAGGATAACTCGTGTCTCAAATATTGCCGATGGGTCGGATAGATTCTGGAATGATACAGATCCAGATCCACACGCAGACGAGGAAGATTCCAACAATGATATAAAGGACGATGAAGAAATGGAGGACATCTCTGAACCCGAAGTCAAAGTTGTGAGTGTTATATGAGAAAATCATTAGAGGATTTTTATCTAAATTGTTTATTTTTAATTCGTTCACTTTTGCTCAGTTTGAGCCTGCGTTACCAGTGTCCAATGGGTCACCTGTAAACCAGCCTCCCGTGGATCCCTTGCCGCTACCCGTGGAGCCGTCAATCAACGTTGCAGCACAGTTCCAACCGCAAGTTGCGCCCAATCTCAATCACAGCTCTCGTGATGAGGCTGACATCTTTGCGGAGGGCTGGGCCATAACCTATCGCAAGCTGGATGGAAGGAACAAGCTGCTGGCCAAAAAAGCCATTGAGGAGATTTTATTTCTCGGACAGATAAATAAATTGGAGTTTAACTCGGTGAAGATGCCAAATTAAATTCGTAAAACTGAAAAATAAAATAAAATTAAAAAAAATTATAATTGTTTTTTATTGAAATTATATACCAAAAGGACCAAATTGATAATATTAAACCGCGCGTCTTAAATTATATTTTACACAGATTTTCAAAATGTAGTTTCAAGGTGATCGAATAAAAAATAAAATATTGCCATCAACCATTTGCCACGTATTTTTCCACTATGTTGGTGAAGTTTCTAGAAAAAAAAAACGGCGAAACATTAGTAGGTAGACAACAAAAAAGGTTCATGCAGCTGTTTTCCATCAACCTTCCATACTTATGTGTGGAATTTCCCAAAATCCTTTGTTACCATACACTTATGCACGTGCGTTGACCTGATGTTTGAATTTTGTATTTCACTAATCAGTCTGTCAATCAAGTCAGGCAATCCGTTTGACATTCGTTCGGACATCCAGTCAATCAGTCATTCAATAAATTAGACATTCAATCAGCTTGTCAATAATTTAGTCGGTTTGTCAATCAATCAACAAGTTTATCCGTCAGTCAGTCTCTCAGTTAATTGTCAGTCAATCAATCAGTCAGCCAGTCTGAAAGTCAATCAGTTTTTCAATCTATTAATCAGTCAGTTGGTCAATCTCTCAGTCAGTCAATCAGCAAGTAAGTTGATCAGCAAGTCAATAGGTTTTTACGTCAATCAGTCAGTTTGTAAATTAATCAGTCAATCAGTCTGTCAATCAATGAATCAGTCAGTTGGTCAATCAATCAGTCATTCAATATATTTGTAAGACAATCGGTCAGTCAGTAAGTAAATCAATCCGTTTGTCAAACCATCAATCAGAAAGTCAATCATTTTTCCCATCAATCGGTCAGTCCCTCACGACAAACAATTAATTGAATTTAGATAAATTTTAGACTTTGAAGCCACTCGAAATTAATTCTTTCATCTGTCTGTCAACTCCGATAAATCTAAATTGCATAATAATAAGTGCTTCGAGTTGCCGCATGCCGCGGGGGTTGGTTGCCGAGCAATGTAGCAGGAGGAGAGCTGGGTTTAGCGGGAACGAGGGTCACGTAAACTGTTTGCATTTGCCTCATTGAGTGTGTTGTCGATGCTGCCGCTCCACACGCGCCCACAGTCAACACACTCAGCACACACACACACACACACACACACACACACACACACACATAGAGACACACTGTGTCAATAAGGCGCCCCAGAAAGGAGTCCCGCGAACAACTTAACTTTGGCTTAACGGCGTTCTTGTATTTGTTGTTGTTTGGCAAACACGCAATTTTCCACATTTCTGGCGCTGCACGTGCAACGGGCAATAACAAGAAACAACAACAACAACAACAACAAAAGCATCAATCAACAAAATTAAAATTAAAATAATAACAAATTTGAAAGAAGCACCGCAGAAATAATCGCCCCGGCCACAGATCCACCGAAGGCGAAGCTGCGAAAATTTCAGTTTTTGGTGTAAATTTTCCATAAACTCATCAAAAATAATTTCAATTTGGCATTTCATTTGTGTTGTTTTTTTTTTTTGCTGTGGCTGTTTAACAGATTCTTGGATCGTACGACTATATGTTTATATATAGAAATGCGAATATTAAGTAATTTGTGTGTGGGGGTATTCACGGCTCGCCCTGTTTGTTTATCCGGCGCAACAAGTTGATGTCTGGATGGGATCTGTGGCGGGCATCGATCGCCCGTTTAATTATTGCTTTTTTTATTTGAGCAATTTTCTCGAGAATATCCAAAATCAAATTTGCGCAATAGTCCCAAAATAATATTCACTCACAGCGCACTTCCTGCTGGCCATCAACAAATAAATCAATATGAAAACCAACTTGAGCCGCTACCCCTCTACCCTGACCCGCTCCCCCGCCCCTCTCGCGCGCATCAACATTTTGTGGAGCCAACGCCTGACGCGACAACAACAAATTGGATTTGCTGCGCCTTCCTTTTTAGCTCTCTTTTATTTCTATGTAAGTATTTATTTGGAAAGCGTTAAGGAAACCGAAAAGTCGTCGGGCTATATATATGCCCACTTTCCGTGCCTGCTATACCCTATGACAAGGGAGTATACCTGTTTCGAGCAGCTGTTTGTACCAGGTAGAAGAAAGCCAACTCTAAGCGCAGCTGTCCGTCCGCCCATCTGTCTGCCTGTCTCTACATCTTTCGCTTTTAATGTCTAATGTCTTTACGATCAGGTACTTCTTCGCCAATTTCCATAAAACCATTATATATGGTTTAGTTAAAAAGATTTGTTCGGTCTAACTCGCAGTTTATAGTCTCTAAACAGATAAAGAGAAATAATTTTTTTCATACCATCCTCCGTTACCTTTTAAACGGAATAAATAGCTGTTTAGTCTCGGGCTTTGGAATGTACAGACATTTTAATGCCATATTTAAGCCCTGAAGAAATTATTACCATCGGACTATGAACAGGGTATACTCTAGTCGAGCGTACTCGACACTCTGCTTGTTGTAGCTACTGTTGTAACTCTTGCTGGCGTCGTCGCATTGTCGGTCTGCCGTCGCCCTCCCCCTCCCCGCCCCCCTCTGTCCGCGTCCCGCGTACCCGGCAATTTGCACACTTTGGGCGCCTAATCAAGTAACCCGAACACGTTCTTTGTTAGATTTATATGGAAAATATTTTTATACAAGAAAAGCGCGCGCGCCCCCCCCGCCGAGGCCCGCTGTGCGGCAGTGGAAAAGCTTTTTCTTGCACTTTTGGCCTTTTCGGTGGCAAGTCTGAGTATCCTTGATATCCTTGATATCCTTGGCTGCCTGGCTCGGTTCTCGGGGGGCTGGCGACGCGTCGCCGCCTCAAAGTGATATTTTACATATTTCTATTTTTATTTTATTTCTATCTTTCTACTTTTTTTTTTGCCGCCCGAGCAGTCTTTTATTATTTTCGTTTTTTGCCTGCTTCTATTTATTTCGCCCACTTTTTCTTTTTTGGATTTTGCCTTTTTTTCGACATTTTTTGGTTGCTTGAATTTTATTACTTTACGCTTAAGTGTGTTTTTTTTTTAGCAGAGATATAGATGGGGTAAGAGAGAGAGAGAGAGAGAGAGGGTGAGAGAGGGGAGCCAGGGGAAGGGAGCTTGGAGTTTTCTTTCTTTCTCTTTTGTTTTCGACTCTTAAATGCATTTTTTTGTGGTGCCTTAAATGGAAAAGTTTGAGACGATTTTTCGCGTCTCCACCCAAACCCGAAACCCAACCAGCTGAAGGAAAATATCGATTGTGGAAATTACAAAGACTTTTATTCAACAAATAAGGCGAGCAAAAAACAACAAGTTAATGAAATGAGCATGAGATGAGGCAGAATGAGATTTGAGCTTATCACGAGTTGTGGAAACTTTTTTTACCAGCCGCCGCCGCCGCTGCCGCCCTGCGAGGACCAGCCGCCGCCGTTGCCGCCCTGAGAGGACCAGCCGCCGCCGCTGCCGCCCTGCGAGGACCAGCCATCGCTGGCAGGAGCGCCCGATGACCAGCCGCCGCTGGAAGGACCACCCGCAGCCCAGCCGCCGCTGCCTGCACCGCCAGCTGACCAGCCGGAGGCATCACCAGAGCCAGCGTCTGAGCTGGTTTCCGAGATGATTTTGATGATTTTGACAGCTGCGGTGGCATCGCTACCGCCAGATGACCAGCCCGAAGAGCCCGAACCGCCAGCAGACCAGCCAGAGCCGCCGCCGCCGCCGCCACCTGCTGACCAGCCGCCACTTGAGCCAGCTCCGTAGCCACCATCTGAAGACTGCTGTGAGATAATCTTGATAATCTTGACCTCTTGCCCTTGAGAGCCACCATAGCCGCCGCTGGAGGCGCCAGCATAGCCGCCACCATAGCCACCGCCGCCGCCGCCTCCTCCTGCTGACCAACCGCCGCCGCCGCCACCTCCTGCTGACCAGCCTCCGCCGCCGCCGCCGCCGCCTGCTTGCCAGCCACCCTGAGAAGGTGCCGATTCATGAATCACTTTGATGACTTTGACCTCGGGTGCAGGGCCGGAGTCGCCATGTCCATGTCCATGTCCACCGCCGCCGCCGCCGCCACCGCCACCGCCAATGTAGCCCGCATTGGCCACTGCGCCCAGCGCCAGCAAACAGAGGAAGACTTTCATATTGAGCGTGGATCTGGTTGGGATGAGCTAAAGAGTTGAACTGATGCCATTGCCAGGTGAATCGACAGCTTTTATAGAGCGTGTGACTATGCGTTCCTCTGGCCTTGGCGCAACACCTCCAGCCGCCCCCTAAACGCCAGCTGCCGCCGGAAACAAACGCGCCAAGTGCAGCCACCACCAACAACAACAACAACCGCCGGCGGCGTCATCATCGTCGTCGTCGTCAACGGTGTCTATAACTAACTCATGGTGTTTGCCAACTGGGCGCTCAAGTGGCCACCAGGCATTGGCAAAGCGAAAGCGTCGCCCTCGGAGAGATGCTCTTGATGATTATGTAGTCACATCCATAAAGAGTCAATTGTTGTGGCTCCATTTGCACGAATTGTTACGATTTTTTTTCGGTTTTGATAGTGGGTTTGGGCTCAAGTTTCGGTTTGCTTGATTATGTTATTCAATTTGTCCAAAATCATGGCGAGATGCGAGTTGCAGACTTGGAAATCAGATAATTTGAGTAGCTGGCATTAATCTATGGGCTGGACTACAAGTCGTACTATAAAATTGTGATTGGTTCAGGTCCAGAGTTTGAACCACTGATTTTTCGCGTGCATGACCCCAGGTCGCGGTTTGAACCTAGGCTTTTTCCTAATTTATTCTTATTTTAATAAGATACGAACGTAAAGATCTTTTTTTCTATCTAAAAGAAACAGATCCAAGCAAGCTTCAAATAATAGTACAATGCGAATAAAAATCAGAAGCTAGGATTATATTTTGTAACTTTATCATAGAGTAATAGTTATATTTAACAGTTTAACATCTTTATAAATTTCAACTCATAAAAAATTCAAAATTTAATGAGAAAGGAGAAGCGAAGAGAATCAGAAAGAGAAAACGTGAATTTTGTAATATTTCTAAATAAACTTTTTCAAACCAGACCATTTGATTTTCGAAACTAGGTTCAGCTTAAAGTTCCCCTGTATTATGTTTGAATACCGATTCGGTTCTTAGTGCATTAAAAGATTTAAGTGCCGCCTTCAAACTTGTTCGATTTGCAGGCTTGCAATCAAACATTTGATACTCTTTACTCTAACTTATCGATATATTTGAGGAACTATCGATTATTCTAGCTGGTTCCAGCTCTAATCACGAATGTGAAGCTCTTACAAACTCTTAAGATCTTTAAAGAGTAGATGCTGTAACCTTGAGAGTGTTTAGTTTCCGTGTTCCACTTTGGGAGAGTGTATCAACGCATTCGTTATGTTTTGCTGAGTTGCTTTACTTTCTTGTAGGTTGCTGCCGATTATGTAATACGAAAACAATCACTTTTGGCGCATGGGCAGCACTTGAATGAAGCTGACTCCGGCGCAGACTCCGTTTCAGCTGCAGTTGCGGCGATCATTGAGGAACTCGTTCAGTTCGGTTGGGCAGATGATTAATGAGTGTTTGCTCAACTAAGCTTGCCAGAGGGGGGAGGCGGGAGACCCGAGCGGGGTTCGCGTTCAAACGTCGTCACTTTCGACTGGCCCTGACATCAATATTGCAGACAACGCGCGGCTACTGCAGAGAGTTACGCAGCGTTCGGCTTGGGGCTTGAAGTTTTGGGGCCCATTTGGGCGCATCTCGTGTCCTTGCGCATTGCGCATACGCAGCGTGCAACCGCGGGAGCGCATCATCGATCATGCGGGCCTCTTTAGAGCTGGGAAAGTTCTCTTTAAGATCAGATCGCGCCTGAATCAATTAATCAATTTGTTTTGCCAGCAAATTTGACTAAATATGGCAACAACAAAATTAAAATTGTAAATGATAAATCGTTTTGGCTTTTTGCATTTTCATTCAAGCGAATAAATTTAATTAAACAATATTTCGCAAGACACGCACAATAACTGAAATACTATAAAAACGAGCAAAATAAAACTAAACGTGGGAATTTGTTCGCTTTTGGTGTTTGCCCGGCATGACAAATATGTATGTGTGTGCGCGTGTGTGTGTGTGTGCCACACACACCCTGCATCCTTTTTTGGGGCGGCTCACAAATTGGGAATGTGCTGCAAAAATGCACAACAAAAATCGGAGCAGCGACGCGTGCAACATATTTTCGTTGTCAGTTCGCCTTTTTTTTTGCATTTATATATTTTCCCATTTTTTTTTTTGTACTTTATGCAACATGTTGGCAACACGCGTCGCTAAAAAGTTGCCGCTGTCTGTTGCTGTTGCTGTTTATTAAATTTTGCCACGCTGACATTTTGACGACGTTCGAATATTTTGTGCTGTTTGTGTTGTGTTGTTGTGCCTCGAACAACGAGCAAAATAAAGTTGCAATTGCCGCAAAATGTTGCTGGGCTCGGCGGCAATCGGCATCAACCTGCGGCAACCAAACTGTGCCAGCCGAACGGCTCCCAGTTTCCCATATGAATGAAGTCTGCGATATGACAGACCTGCGAGTCTGTCTGTCCGTTCTCAAGCTGGGCTCCTACTTTGTGGTTAGTTTTATAGCCAAACAATTTCGACAGTCGTCGCTTTTCGCGCTGCTCATTTGTGGCGATTTTCCACCAACTCCTACTGCCCATTGTTGTCCCCATACCCTGTAATTACGACACGAGTCTCTAGCGTAAATACCCAGCGAATTACTAAATGCAATTCAAACAACTTTTCCCTTTTGGCCAGCAAGAAAGCTGCATATTACTTATTGCCAGTCTAGGGCATCTCTTAGTCGAGCATGCCGGTTGTTGTCGGCACATATAGCCATAACCATAACTCTGCACCTTTGGCTCACATGTGAGGCAGCTTTTCAAAACGTTTCATTTGTCTGTCTGCCCGTCTGTCTGTCTGCCAGTTTGTGCTCTCTGTGATTTCTGGGCTCTGGGATCGTGACACGTAGCTGTTGCAACAATTTGCCGCCGACGATTCACTTGCCGCGATAGCTTGGCCCTAAATATGCACAGCTCAAAAACTTGTACTTATGTCATGAATACGATCTAAGCTATAGTTTATATAGGGTTCAAACTTGGAACAGTTGGCATTTAAAGACAACACATTGCTGTTGACCTATTAACACCTCGCAACAGCAACAACAAATAAAAGTGAATGTGTCAATGATGCTCGACTAAATGGTGATCCGTTATAAGCGCGCGATTAACCTTCAACTGTTTGATGAAAAATGAATTTGAGCCAGCAACTTTATCCAAAGAAACTTTGAACCCTATTCGGGAATTTTGAGTAATCTATGAATCTTATCTCCAATGAGTTCTCACAGATCTTTGAAAATTAGTTTAAAGCTAATCGGATGGTATATGAAATTTTCACTTATTTTCCACACTTGTAGGAGGAATTCTCCAAAAACGGCGTTGTAAAAATATCCTTCTTCTAGCTCTTATGACCTGATCTGTGCAATGATCATCAAACAATCAATCGGCCAGGGAAAATAAGACAAAAACAGATATTTACTATTAAAATCGCTGCAAAAGTTGTGGGTGTGTAAAGATGAAGGCTCATTTGTCATAGTCTCGGACACCCTGCAAGTCGAAAACTACAGGGTATTCAAGCAGCAGAAACTGTTAACACATGTAAGTCAAGCGGCAAACGGCAAACTCATTACGCAGTTGTCTGCGTTGCAATTCGATTAGCATAGAAATCGAATAACTTTATATAGACCTATAGCTGATTGTTGTTGTTGTTGTTGCTGTGATTATTGCTGCTGTGTGTTACATGTACATGTGGTTGTTTGAGGGTCTGGCGTGGCAGTTGCTAGTTGCCAGTTGATCGCCAAAATGCGTTCGGCCAATGGCAACATGTTGCACAAATGGTTAAACCGGCTGCCCAATTGCCTGCCCGATCCTAAATTTGCATGTCATGTGAAAAATTATTTGCTTATTGTTTAACATTTGTTTGGCTTTGTCAATTGTCAACACACAATGCGATTAACCCATTGAGATTTGCTTTGCACAAATAGTCATTGGATATTCTTGACAGTCATTTTGCTGGTGAGCATTAAGCTTGTAAGATCCAATTGAATAGACCAAAATCTGATTAAAGACAAGATTTATTTGCTTAAATAGAAGTAAAAGCTGAGGCAAAGTGGCCTTCAGCTGGCATAGTTATGGATGATAATTAGTTTGGGCTTCAATTTTCCCGGGGAGTATCTATGAAGGATTGTGTAGTTCAAATATATTTCGACTTTGTTGGCAGATAAACGACAACAATCTGTTGCAAATTGAAAATAATCGTATTTTTAACAATCGCCCTTCTTTGTGATTCTCACCAATTCAAGTAAGCCTCGCAGGTTGTCATAATTATAGCCTTGATTATAGTGTAAACTTTAGTATGCTTCATCGATGCTCATACTCTTTTTCTCCGTCTCTCTCTTTCTCTCTCTCTCCCTCTCTTCTTCTCTCTCTCGTATTCAACAAGTTACTTAAAATCGGCTTAGATCCTTGATAAACGTATATATTATAATGAAAGTAACTCGCCTGCCAAAGTAAGCCCAATATTTCAAGTTTCTCCGACTCATTTATGGAATATTCTTTAATTGCAGTGGGTTAATATACAAGCTGTTAGCCATGTGAGTGGCTGTTTTTGTTGTTGTAATTGTGATTGTGAATTGTCGCATGATCGCGCTGGCTGCATTCCTCAGTCGATTGTCGATAGTCGATTGGCGTTTCGATACGATACGATGCGATTTGATTTGATTCGCGTGCCCAGAGCTCGTAACTCGCCAACTTATTAAATGTGCCGGCGCACGCGGCGTATGCGGCGTATGCGCAATATGTTAGTTGTCTGCGTGTGTGTGAGTGTGTTTTAGCTGGCGGCCTCTCGTCGCATTCTCAGCTCGATGTCGCATTCGCTTTCCGTCTCAATTGTGCAGACAAATTGCGCATTTTGGACAGTTGGAATTTGACTTTTTGATTGACAACTGCGCCGATCAACTCTCTGACCAACTTCTGTGCCCCATGGCGCAGCTTTAAAGTTCAGTTTATTAGGTGCTCGCTGCATGCAAATGCCGCTGC